AGACCTGAAGGCCTCAGGCACTTTCTCCATAATGCACCATGGATAAAATGGCTGTGCAAACAGAAAAGCTTGGAGGATAGGGCATGAAACAATGTAAATGCTTTAACGCATTTCAAAGTAATATGAACATGAAATATACCTTCAGGAAGGAAAAATGTGCTTAAAGCATCACACTTACAAAAACAACATACACATCTGAGAGATCAATATGGTTGCCCATTCAGGATGGATATATGTCCTTAAAGTCATTTTATGGTCAAAAACCAATTTTGATTAAAACAAAAAATTGTTTAAAAAGGGGGCAAATAAAGTAGCATTCAATTTAACTAGTTTCTTCCTTTGCTTCCGTATATATCTTGACTAATTTCATCTTCAATTCATTAATTTAAGGGTCATGATTTATCCATTTATTCATTAAATATTTATTTAACTATGATGTTCCAAAATATAAATAAATGGTCATTGTTTTGTGCTGAGTTTTGTTTAGTATTTAAATTTCAGGTACTGTCACATAACATTCATTATAGGAAGAAATTAAATCAGCCTATAAATAATGAATTTTTGACACTGTTTTGTGGTTTAATAAGGAGAATCATTGTCAGAGTAATAAAGCGTAGCACTTAATCTCTCAATATGATTATAAAAAATCCTAATCTCCACAGGATGGCAAACTTTTCCTTTCCCAATGCTTATTTGATATTAAACTGAAAGAAATTACATCTTCATTGCTTATTTATTGTTGTATATTCTACTTTTCAGTAAACTTTTTTGTTTGTCTGAGGTTTTCTTTTACAGCGCAATGGATTTATAGGAAATATTATGCTGAACCAAAAAAAGTTTAAAGTTGCTCATAACAATTTTAGGGGCTGGTCGTGGTTGTTTTTTACCGAAGAGTTAGCAAATTTCAGAGATATAGCTCCAAGAGTAAGAATGATTATGTCTTTTCTAATTTGTTTCTCTCTGAATTTATTCACAAGGCTTAAAAATCAAAATTTGACCCTACAGTCAATAATCCTCCTTTTTTATTAAAGTGATCTCTATATACCTTAGCATGTCCATCTGAATCTTATCTGGCATTTACCACTAGCTCTATAAGATTGCATTAATGCCACCCTGACTTAAAATAACAAAAACTGGTATGTTAATTTAAAAATTCCTAAAATTAGCAGATTATCTTCAAATGAAAAAAATGGATTGGATAAAAGTCAGTCAACAAATCTTTTTTAAGCAAATGTTACACAGCAGCATGATGAAATTTACAAAGAGCCTTAAACTACTGTCACTATCTTAAAGAAATTTATAATCTGAGGAGTTCAGACATTTATTTTCTTAGATGTGACTATAAAACTAAAGTGACTCCACAAGCCACCTGTTAAATGGATCCCCTTAGTTAGCCTCTAAGAGCAGAAAGTGTATATATAATTATGTTCATTTAAAATTTTAATACCCCTGTATTATACTATTGTCCTGTATTTGCTTTCAAGGTTATATTTAAATTGATGAAAGTTACAGAAACATTCATTATTCTTAAGAGCAAATGAAACTCTGCATTGCAGTCTGTCTGCTCATCCATAATTCAGGATCCCAGCCTAAAACACTATGCTCAAACAAGCACAAATATTGGCAAAGGTGAAATGTTGAACTGTTACAGTAGCAGCTACATTATGTAGCAATCTGTGTGTGTGCTTTAATTTCCTAGCACTAGAAAAAAAAACAAAAAGCAGAAGAACAGTCAACAATTATGGTTGTAAACTAAATAAGCAAGAGAGTAAAGCCAAATTGCCATTATTCAAAGCTACGTGCTTTTTATGAGTTATGCATGGATCTGATAAGACCGTAAAACCCAAGACGGGGAAAAACATCAGTTACTTGGATTATCCTTCCTGGCAAAGAAAAGGGGATTCTAGAAGAATGTTCTTATGAATTTGAACTTTGAAACTGGCAACTCTGGTTCTATTAAGTTAATGGAAATTTATCTTACCTCAAATAAATTCCCTCATTTGTCTTAGTTATCTGGGGAATAATGCCAGCCCTCCATTTATTAGGACCTTGGTCAATGGTTTGGAGTTCCAGCAGGTAGAAGAAGTTACTAAATACCCTTGACAGAAGACAGGTCTCCTCAGCCAAGGGAAGTTTTCTCTTGTTTGGACTCAAAGCATCAGTAGGACGCACAATGAGAACTGAGATGAAGGAGGAAGCACGAACCTAGCCAGTGGAATCAGCAGAATTAACCCAGCAGATCAATATGTTAACAGACATATCCGCCATATCACCTTAACTTCCAGCCATTTCATTTTGCTTCAACTGATGCAGGCTGGATATGTTGCATCTTGCAGCAGTGCAGACTTTACATTTTGTAGCCATTAATAACCTATATTTATATGAAGTAATTGACACTGAAAGGTAATGATAAATATCTAGTGCTCAGGAACTGTATCTCCTTCTGAATTGTAAGGTTTATTGTTCTAAACTTGTCAGCTACCCTTATGACATTCTATAACTCTTTCTTTTACTAGAAAGGAAAAATAATTAATATAGTAAGTATAATCACTTCCTTATGTAATAAAATTCCTAGTTTTATACAGCACAGAATATATAAAACCATTAACATTTCTCCCCAAATCTGCATGACTAGAAAAATGTACAACAAATTATCAGGCCTGTGCCTTCTCATCCAATTTTCTTCCATGACGATTTGAACAGCTCACTGTATGATGGTATTTACAGTCTTTAGAGCACCTCTCATCTAATAACTCACTAAGCTTGACAACAATCCTGAGAGGGCTAAGCAGGGTAAGACTGTCCAAATTTGTAAGTGTGGTCCCTAAGTGCAGAGATGCTAAATAGGACATCCTCTGTCACAGGCCTAGTGAGGGATGGGGCAGGGGGCTCCCATGCGTTCCCTCCTCCACACACCTCTCAAGAAAAACCACTTATATTTTCACCATAAAAAATAATAAAATAAAACACTGAGGTATCCCCTCTCTCCCCCCACAACCACTCCCTTAAAAAAAAATTTATTCAAACCAAAATAAGAAGAAAGAGCAAAGTGTCTGTCAGACCATAGTCTGATTCTGAATTAAGTTCTTCCAAATTTACTCTTTACAGTTTCCCTTTATTGTCAATATATATCTCATCCACAGAATTTTCACATTTAATAATCTCAAAAGAAAATCTGCTTTATTACCTAATTATGGTCCTCACACTTTTGTAAGGAACACGTAGGTCTCCTCTCCATCATTCCGTGGATGAGGTCACTGAGGCATAAAATGGTTCAGGAATTTGTGCCCAGGCAAACAGCAAAGACAGACATAGACAGATGACTGCAGAAGCTTTACTCAAATTGGTGGTCTCTGGTCAGACATGGAGGAAAAAACCAGTTCCACTGATCTGATTTTCTATAGCTGTGAGCATGTTCTGGGCCATGAATATCCAGATTTAAGAGTTTGGTCTGTATTTGAAAGTCAAGAGTGCTTAACTGGAAATTCCTGCTATGCCCATCAAATATATTATAATCAAAGGTAGTGGGGCTGTGGCAGGTTAATATGATGGTTGGGGTGCAAAACCACAACAAACCATAATGATCCCTTGCTGGAGATACTAGAAAACCAAAAAGCCAAGTTATGACATTATATTTAAGCTCTCTTGACAAAGACTAAAGCAAAACCCTGCTAAATGTGGATTTTGTGTGTGTGAGGACAATTGTCCCTGAGCTCAGATCTGTTGCTAATCTTCCTCTTTTTGCTTGAAGAAGATTGTCCCTGAGCTAACATCTGTGCCAATCTTCCTTTTTTTTTTATATGTGGGATGCCACCACAGCATGGCTTGACAAGTAGTATGTAGGTCCACACCTGGGATCCAAACCGACAAATACCAGGTCACCAAAGTGGAGCACGCGAACTTAACCACTATACCACTGGCCAGCCCCAGTACAGATATTTTTATATCCTAAAAATATCCATTTGAAGCCCGGAAGAGCTGGCATTGGGATTGTGACAAAGAAGAAACATTTTCATCTACCTATAGATGATGATTATTTTTATGGTTCAAGGAATATACATATTTAAAGAAAATTCACAATTTGGAATTCATCTATGAGCTGCCATAACATTTCGCTGTTAAGTCTTTTCTAAAAAACAGTTTGCTGTTAGAGAAAGAACACTGGTGAGGGATGTGGTTCCAGTCCATATGCTGTCACTAACCATTAACCTCGTCACGTCATTCCACCCCTCAAAATGGGCCTCTTTGCCCTCATTTTGTGTAAAGACTTTCTGGATCTCTAAGGGCTTTCTAGTTAGGATAAGTAAACCACCAGTTTACTTATTTTACTATAGCATACAGGTATAGTGCACCATTGTCATGATAACCTTATTGGGGCACTGTCACAGTGTTGTATTGTCATTGGTTATGACAGGACAGTTTGGCAGCGACTCTAAATTCCCAATAGACGCTGAATAACTGTTAATTTCACACTAAGGCAGACACAAAACCAAAAAAGGAGATTTGTCTTTGTCTTTTTTCTACATAAAGTAGATAGCATCTTAAACTAGCATGAAGTAGTTTGAAAACACTCGGATAAAAATCATCATTTTGCTATTCCTTGCTGTAGTTTCATAAAACTGAATTAAAAAAGTAAGCCAATTGAAAATATTCTGAAGTAAGTTGGTATTTGAAATATTTTTCTTTCCTTTTTTTTTTTTCTTTTGTGAAGAAGATCAGCCCTGAGGTAACATTGCTTGCCAATCTTCCTCTTCTTGCTTGAGAAAGATGGTCCCTGAGCTAACATCTGTGCCAATCTTCCGTTTTATGTGGGATGCTGCCACAGCGTGGTTTGAAGAGCCGTGCTAGGTCCATGCCTGAGATCCGAACCCACGAACCTCAGGCCACTGAAGCAGAGTGTGTAGACTTAACCATTCCGCCACCAGGCTGGACCCAATTACATGAAATTTAAAGCCTATAAAAAAACAAGACAAAACAAACCCTGACCTTTCTTCCCTTACCTTGCAGCCTTTGCATCACATTGGCAATGTCCCGAGGAGACCGTGAAGCCGTCCTGGCGGATGCCATGGTCCCTCCTGTCACAGGAAACCAGCACCAGAGACTCTTCACTTAGGGCAGTGCAGCACTAGCCACTCCGGAAAACATACTTGAACTTCCCTAGGTCTACGGAGTCGTAAATGAATCCCAGGCACTTGCAACAGTCAGCACGGAGTCAGCGTTCCCAAAGATTGAGCCACTTATTTTCTTCTTTTCTTTGACTATCCTCTTAAATGACCTGAGGAACCTGAAAAACAAATAGAAAAAGTACAATATATTTATTTTTAAATCTACATAGGTCACCCTAGTACTAAAAGGAGAACCATGTTTATTCAATTTGTTTAGATGATTCATTGCCAAGTGAAATCACTACTGTAAAATTACTTATGAACTATAAAGTAGTAGGCAAATACTAGGAATTCTTATATTTGATAAAATAAATACATACTCACGACATGTGCAATAAAATTGGCTGCCAAAAAGAAATGTTCACTTTACTTCATGGTGTCTTTTTAAACTACAAACTTTTTTCATTGATTTATGAAAGTGAAAATACTTGTACTCAAAACACTGAATTCTATTTCCCAATAGTCACCGGTTCTCTTAGCTATGCTGTTTTACTCTGCTAGGCACACAAACTGTGCAATATTTTGCTTTATTTTGTTTGTACACTTTTCAGGAATCAGATCAAATCTTAGGTCTTAAATAATTTGATGAATTAAACATGTATAAATGTAAAACTATTTCATTCTAAAAATTTGATTCAAATACTCTTTTAGAAGTCAAAATGGGTCTGATTTAGCTTTTTTCCTCCCCATACAGAAAGACTTAAGTTGTAAGGCTGGAGTAGGGGTATGTTAAGCAGAGAGGACAGTCTCTTGCTAGCCCCTTCCTGAATTCTCTGCTTTAGTCAAGTTTAATTCATCAGTCTGGTCTGGAGGAGGTAAAAGAGGGAGGGAGTAGTGATGAAATCTTGACATTGAGACAGGTAGTTTGAACAAGGATTTCCTAACCCCAGGGATAGCTAAAGAGAAGGTCTTGCATTGAATAAGGCAATCAATGGCAGAAACAAGAAGAGGGCCAAAAATGTACCCAGAGAAAGAAACTTAAACTAGGGGTCAAAGTGAGGAGGTCTATATGAGAATGATGCTCTATTACAATTCACACTCATTTCTGGGTTAGGATGATGAAGCTGAAGAAAACGAATGGGATGGACGAGGATGGGAAAAACAAAACTGAAAAGAAAAGACAGCACAAACATATGGGATGGTCCACCTGCAGAAAGGAAAATAAGAGGAATCTACGAGTGCCATGAAAAATTACATCATCCTCTGAATGTATGGTCATAAAAACAGTATTATTTATGAAAGATTGGTCAAGTAATAGAGTGTAATTACAAATTACAGTTGACTTTAAGAATTGCATTGTTAATACTAGGATATACTGGTGTCTGGTTAGAACGTACAGATGCAAAGCTGAGAATATCTTTCCTAGACTACCATCTCAAAAAGGATGCAAAAGACAGCACACTCCGGCTGCCCTGTGTGAAAAAAGATCAAAAGGATCTACTGAGGGGTCAGCCTGGTGGTGCAGTGATTAAGTTCACACGTTCCGGTTCGGCCGCCCAGGGTTTTCCTGTTCAGATCCTGTGTGCACACATATGCACTGCTTGTCAAGCCACACTGTGGCAGGCGTCCACATATAAAGTAAAGGAAGATGGGCAGAGATGTTAACTCAGGGCCAGTCTTCCTCAGCAAAAAGAGGAGGATTGGGTGGCAGATGTTAGCTCAGGGATAATCTTCCTCAAAAAAGAAAAAAGAAAGATCTACTGGGGCAAGAAAGGGTGTCGGGGTCACTGAGCCAGTTAGGGCACAGTGGTGCAGTAAAGAGCATTAATTGGTAAGAAGGTAGAGATAGACTTCTCTTGGCTACTTGAAAGGATATTTACTAGAAATAGGACCCAATATGTGGCAGCTTCTGGGATAGAGGGACATCTCAGCGGCTGGCTCTCCAAGGGATTCTTAGAGGACAAATAATTACTTATGGCTGGCCTGTCATGTATCAGGCCTACAGCCCTGCTGGAATTGTGTGCCCATTAGCAGGCTCCATCTCCTAGGGGAAAACATTCCACCTACCCACATACAAAAGCTACCTTAATCTGAAGACTAATAGGCAGTGAGAAGTGCCTGAGGGATCTTACAAATGGCCCCCCTAAACTGTTAGAAAGCTAGGTTCTCCAAACGTAAGAAAATAACTTTCTAAAGTCTAGCTATCTAGCTATCTACGTATATATTAAATAAAGATGAGGGAAGAAATCCATTTTAATTCAGCTACTTGATGCCATGCCCTGCTCAGCACTGGAGTTCATAGATGATTAAGATATGGTCCCTACCATCAATCAAGAATTATGGGATTAAAATGGATTTCTGAAAGTCATTGCATTGCAGATCACCATGCTTCTACCCTCTTCTAGTTCACATTCATGTTATGCAATAGATTAATCCTGAAATAGCTCGCTGTCTCTCTCTCTCACCCTTTCTCCCTCTTTCTCTCTTTTGATACCACATTAAACTCAATATTTCTCTGCTTGTGTCCAACTTCAACCTGGGTATCCAGGCTTACTTCCACAGCATTAACTAATGCATTCTGAGCGTCAGAGCTCATCCTGGGGGAACTGAGATGAATATGACGCATAACCTATTTTTTGAGGAGCTTAGAACATAGTGGGAGATACAATGTAGAAAAGATAATATAACAATACCACAGGTAAGTGCAAATATAGACACGAATGATACAAAGAATGGGCACTAACCCAATCTGGAGGTTCTGAAGAGTGTCCTGGGAGGGAGTGAACCCCTGAACTGAGTCTTGGAAATGAGTTAGAGTTAGTCAGGTGAAAAATATGAAAGATGCATTCCGTGAAGAAGGAGTAGCTTGAGCAAAGGCATGGACATGAGAAACAACATGATTCTATGTGGAACTACCAAGAGTTAGATAGTGAAGGACTCTACCCGGTGACATTCTGGAGCTGAGGATGGAGAAGGAGATAATGGCTAGTTGGTTAGGGTCCTAGGTGCTATGCTCAGAAGCTTGGTCCTGCTTCTCTAGGAGGCAACAGGAAACCACTGAGGGATTTAAGCTGGAGGTGACCAGGTATAATTCAGATTATTCTAGCAACATGTTTAAGGGTATATTTGAGGGAGACAAGACCAGGAGATCCAAGAAGATCTGTTAGGAAGGTATCTTAAGAGAACAGGTGGAAGACGATGGGAGATTGAAATACGACAGTGATTGAAGGGTAACATCTGAAAAATCTTTAAGAGGCAAATTGTGTAAGACTTGGTGACTGCTCGGGAAGGGGAGATAGGAAATGGGAGGTGGGGTAGTCAGAGTATCTTGGATGACTCTCACAATTCTGACCTGAGGTTCTGTGGGTCATGGTGCCCTCAACTGAGCTCAGCAAGAGAGGAGCTATGCAGGTTTTACTGCCCAATACTCTGCCCAATACTCTTCAGTTCATACCTCATATCCTTGCTGAACAATTTCTTAATTATCCCTTCACATCACCCCTCCGCAGGACACTTATAGCTGAACAAATCCAAAGGATTACAATAAAGGTACTAAATACCCAGCCCAGGACCCGCACTGTGCTTGAAGCCCTCTCTAAACACACCTGCACACATTTAGCATGATTTTCCTTCAATTCCTCCAGTGCTAACAACCCATGCTATTGTAAATATGATTTGTCTTAGATTCATCACCATTGTCTGTTTTATCTCTAACTAGACTTTGAACGTTTTTCAGATATAGAGACTATTACTCATTGTTTTGACACCCCACTCATTGATACCAAGTATATCCCTGAGCACATCCTAGCCTCAGTACATATTTTTGTTTTATTGAATCAAGTTCATAATACTTTACCTCTACAAAACAACCCCCAGAAAACCCCTTCCTCCCCAATGCAAAAGAAGTTGATGCAATATCCTTCCCTTTTTAGACATAAGATAAAATATTTTGCTTTCATCATTCATGTATACACATATTTCCTCTTTTGTGAATTACCATGTTCTTGCTTTTTACTGATACTTTAACTTAAAGGCAAACAAGATTTGATAAGAAAATTCAAATTAATAAAACAAAGATAATCAAAGGAGACTGGGAATTGGAAGATATGAGTTCTAGACTTAGTCTTGTTCCACTAGTTGGGTGATTTTGAGCTGGTTCCGTGCATGGAGGTCCTCAACAACTGCCTGTCACAGGGAGTGTAGTAGTGGGAAATGTAAGCACTATGGACTAAGAAAGACATGGAGCTGAGTCTTAATTCTGTCTCTTACTGTCCATGTGATCTTAAGAAAAGTGAAATTTTGTTAATGCTAAATTAGGTTTAATTTAATTAAATTTAAAAAGATCCATATATACTGTTCCTAGAAGACTGTTTGGCATATAGTAGAATTTCAGCCAATAACTGGTTTCCATTTTCCTTCCCTTGGCCTCGGTTTCTCCATCTGAAATCAGAGAGATGAGTCTAGAATGGAGAGATGCTCTCAAGTGTGCTCTCCAGTTCCAACACCAAGGCAGCATAAGTGATCACTCAAATGACTACTGGTACAAGGTCACGAGATGTTGAAATTCACTCCTTGAACTGAATGATTACTTACCAGTGTTCTGATTGTGGGCTTGACCTGCAGAACCAGAGCATGAGAAGAAGATCTAGCACCATCAGTGAGCTCACTATTCTCAGGGTAATTAAGAGTTTTTAAATAGGGGCAGGATATTGGGGGGGGGGAGGGGAGGAAGAGAGGGTGAGGGTGCAACCAGTATTGGGATGGAAAGGGAGAGCTAGGTAGACGTTGATGGGTTGTGTACCAATTAATAGATCCCACACCATCTCCCAATCCTTCCAGGGGAAGGAACTAAGATGACAATGGAACTGATTATATCCACCACACCTAGCAGAGAGGTAAGATTCCTGTATTTATTATTTCATACAGCAAATGTATTGAGAAACCATTTGTAAAGGACAATGGTCCTGAGTAAATAGCAGTGAACAAGACAGATAAGCCCCTCTTAGAGCTCAGGTACCAGAGGGGAAGACGATATAGATAATATTGCAGCAAAGTAGGTTGAGTATTGTGATGGAGAAATCCAGAGTACTGTGGGAGCACACAGAATACCCAATCAGTAAGCATCTGCTGCGTTTATCGAGCAGGATGCAGAGGGAATTTAGACTCTCTGCTCTGGGATTCTCCTGTCTGAACAATGCACTCTTCTTAACACCGACACCTGTGAAAAGCACAGTAGTGACTCATCACAATTCGACTTTCCCAGCCTCTAAGCAGAGTGAACAACTGGCTTCTAAAGCAGTGTCTCATTTGTGCCGCTAAAAAGGAATACATTAAGAAAAACGCTAGGAGGCCATAAGAATACATCTTAAAGCAATGGGACTAAATTTTTAGGTATTAGGAAACTACAGTAGAATAGTCCAAACCCTGGAAAATCCAGAGATGATATGGCTCCTTTCTAACTGAGAAAGATGACCTGAGGCCATAAACCATAAACAGAGTCACAGAAGTATGAAGTATGAATATTACTTAATTAGATGTCTAAATATGTTCGAGAATAGCACTCCTATTAAAATCCACTGTTAAATGCAAATTGAAAAGCTAATGAATACATTTCAACTCCCCTTCTATCGAAGTCCTTTACTGGAATGAGTCACAGAAGCATCTAATTTTACATTTAATTATTGTTTTTCACTATCCACCCGTTAGTAATGGTACTAATTAATAAACGTTAAGATGGCTAACGAGTAGGGAAGAAGGGGGCCATCCCAGAGTTAATACAAATACATTACTAATGTATGTGTATGGGCTATCAGCAAATGGTGCTGGTAATTATTTACTGTTATGAATTATATAGCATAAGAAGAATTGGTCCTTTCCCGGGAAGACCAAAAATTTGAGAAGTCATCAAAAGACAAAGTACACAGCTGATCAGCATAAAAGATATGAAGATGATTCAACTTTTTTGGGTAAGCTTGGCATACAAGCCATGCCCACAGATATCTGCTGCCTTCCTCCCCTACTTTGCTATAGTATACGCTGCACTCCTTGCCAAACATTAGTTCTCATTGGATAAGACCACAAGGAAGGACGCATTTAACAGATTTAAGAGATGGGGAAATGCAGATTTCTTCACAGGGGAGTCTTGCTTGGGTCCTGAGAGCCTGTCACATTCAGACCACAGGGTGTGGCTGCAGTATTGAGAGCTGAAGCCACCCAAGAAAATGCTACAGACCTTGCCCAGCCATGGGCTTCTTACATCCTGTTTCAGTTACACCTCCTTTCACTTCCGAGGAGCTGTGTGTGCTGCGTAATTATCAGAGAGCTGGTCCTAGTCTAAGCAATTCTCGAAAATTTTAAAATGGTAAACTACCTTGTCCCAATACCTACTCCTTTGCAAGAAGGAATCAAGTGAAAAGAATCCTTCTATGGGGACAATGAGGACAGAAATAAACCAGTTTGTGAAAAATCATTAGGAAAGATAAAAATGAGACTTTAACGTAAAAGCTGAGCAAATATTTGCAAGGGCTAGCAATATTGTTATCTGAGTCAGTCTGAAGATATGCTTTCATCTTGAGCACGAAACATATTAAATTAGCATTGATCAGGCACATTTTATTCTAAATTTGCCACAAAGTAATGAACAGATTCAAAAACCCAAGAAAAAGAGATGTGTTTTATTACACTGTGTGGTGATGTCAGGAACTTTTTATCCATATTAATCCTTTTCACCACGGGGAATAGAAAGTCCTTCAACAATCTTCATGACTCAGGACTAAATCAGATGGGGGTCATACTAATAACCTTCCCTTAATTGAAAAGTATTCCAATTTCTCTTGCATACGTCCGGCTTGTATACAAATGCTTAGGAAAGTGCCTCTCAGATGAAGACAAAAACAGAGAGACACTCAAAAAGAGAAAAACAATTCATTTTGAACTTTCTTAACATTCACAGAAAAATTCTAGACACATACAGGTTTTCCACCCCAACTGAAAAGCTCAGAAATGAACATTCCAGGATGCTAACACTGATACACAGCTGCAGTAGTTTCTCCCTGGGCTGGACCCAACTCTGTTTACAGAGAGGGCCTGAACTTGCATCCTCCAAGCTCTATTATCCCAGGCAGCACACGGAACCCCATTTCCCAATGGGCTTTCTTGGCTTTGAGGCTGATAGCTGCTTTATTTTGCACTATTTTCCTGCCCTTTGCCTTGCACCTGGCGCCTTGTGAGCCACCATTTCACAGAACTGCTCCGGCTGCAGTGCAAAATCTCTGTCTGAAACGTGTCTTTCTGGAGAGCAGATGAAAGTTATCTTGCCCTCTAGCGTAGGCTCAGCCTGGAAGCAACTGCACGGTGACAGCGGAGTAGAGTCTGAAGCCCCGGCCTCCGTTCGTCTACAAGCCCTGGGCTGTGCTACCCTGTTCCCCTCCCCCAGCCCTTCCTAAAATAGTCAGAGGTGGAGGAAGGGAGGCTCCCAGAATTTGTTCTACGCCCTACATCTCCCAGCTGATAGTAGCTACAGTACCGACCACCACAATAACAGGGTGACTGCCTTTTGCTTCTGCATCACTGGAGTCCAAGAGATGTGCCATAAGCGGAAATGACAACTCGGGGATGGGGATATTAATAGTGATTTCTACGTACAAAATGCAAGGAGGACGCTCCCCACCTCCTTATCTCCTCATCCAGGAGTGTCAGACACGTACACACATCACCACCACCACCACCGTCCTCTCTCTCCCATTAAGCACGCACAACCGGAGCATGCAAGTACAAACTTGCTTACAATTTGTCTGCAATTTGCTCGGCTTGCACCCATATTCATTCTCTCTCTCTCTCTCTCTTCCTCTCCCTCTTCCCCCCGCCCCCCTTTCCTATTACCTTCTCTCCCTCTTGGGTTCGTTCAGGTTCAGGGCAGCGAAGCAAGGGTGCCACCGGTCGCGGGTGTGCGCGGCTCTCGGCCGGCCACGGTCCCCGGGAGCTCGGCGCGGTGGCAGGGCTGCGGGGAGCCGGCCGCCCTGGTTACGGAGTACAACACGCCGGGCCGGCGGCGGATCCGCAGCCGCGCTCCCCCGGGCACGCTCGCACACTCCCTCACTCACTCCTGCGCCCAGCTGCTAGGCGGCTCTGCCCTCCCTCTGCAATCGGGTCCTCCTCCTGGCTGCACCCTGGGGTTTTAGGCCTCCCCGCACTCTCCCCCGCCCCCTGCACTAATGCTTTTTTCGGAGGGGAAGGTAGGCGAGGCGGGGTCAGCCCCCGGGCAGAGTCCCAGCGCTAACCCTCCGCCGCCACACCCCTCCCCGGCACCGCGCCCCGCGCCCCGCGCCCCGCGCCGGGCTCCAGGATGACCTGGTCCCTGGAAGAGCTGGGGGCCTGGGGGCTTTCTCGCAGGCTTCCCCTACCTCCTGGAGATGCACGGCCTCTGGTGTCTCTCCGAGGCTGCAAAGCCGTGCTGTGACCCCCTGTCTTGGCGAGCCTTCCCACGGGAGTCCACCTCTCTGGGGTCGAGGAGGGAAAGAAATGGCCGAAAGCGCTGGGAAGGCGATGCACTGCGCTAGCTGTTAACTTTTGCCCAGGGTTTCCACTGCCCGACTGACCTTTCTGAGCAGAACCTATCTTGAAAGGCTGGGGAGGTCCCTTGATGGTCCCAGGAAGGAAGTGATGCAGTTCAGCGAGGACATTCTGCCGGCTCCTTTGAAATCAACTTTCGAAAAGATCATAACAGCTGACCTTTTGGCTGTCAAATCAGTAGCAAATAATTTTAGGGAGACTGGTCAGACTCACAGGTTTTTGCTACTGCTGTTTATAAAGCTTAGAGTTTCTGAGAAGGCACTTGACATCGTAATGGGGTTTATTCTTGATTATTCATTAAGATGATGCTGAAGCACCGCCTTCAGACTCCTGGGATGCACCATATGCACGCTGCACACTGCGGAGCCATTCGAGTGAGCCTCTTATCACAAGTCCTTACCGTGGAGAGGACGTCCCGGTGTTGCCTGGTAGCACTGGGGAGAATTTATTTTGTTGTGGTTTTATGGTTTCCAGGCAAAGTCAAACATAATCTCTCTTCACCAACAATGAAGCCTAAGTCCAACTGGATTATGGCAGCTCAAATAATCGAAGCGATGTTGCAAGAATCTTAGAAATGATTACCCCCTTGAATTTTCAATCTGAACAAAACGGATTTCTATTCTCTAAATTTGCTAAATGGAAAGACTCGCTGGCTTATAAAGTGGATGAAGTTTCTCTTTGCCTCCTGCTGTTCCCTCACTAGCTGCCAACACTCCACTATTTAGCTTTGCATTTTCTTCAGGTTCTTCTTCTTCTGGATCCCATCAAAATAATAATATCTGGGAGCTGGCCCTAGGCCTAATGGGTAATTTTGGCGCACTATCTGTTTCAGCAGGAGTTCCGGGTTTGGATCCCTGGCGTGGACCTACACCACTTGTCAGCCATTGGCACAGATGTTGGCTCAGGGCTAATCCTCCTCAGGGGAAAAAAAAGTCTCATAAACTAATCTGATTTGTTATCTTTCCTGGGTTTACCATTTTTAGAGACCAAAGAATAAATCTCTAATTGCAGAACTCGTTACCCCTGGAAGTTGGGCCTGTAGAGAGTAGTGTTTGGGATCTCCTTCAATGAGTATCCTGCTACTGCCTCGTATGCCCAATGAGGGCTACACTCACTATGGAGGCCCAGAGCTCCTTCTGGAAATAACCTGCTAGAGCCTAGTCATTCCAGGTAACAGAGTCTGCCCGGGTGGCCACCAGACGGAGATCCAAACTTCCAAGCCTGCTACTTGGGAAAAGAGGATTGGACTCAATTCTTCCTCTCAATCTCTACCTTCATTTAACCAACTCACCCTGAAGGCAGTTGAGGATGGGGTAGAAGAAATTCTACGAACTCGGTGCTCTATGTGTTAGGCAGTTGCTTCCTGAGGTTGCCTTACTTGAGAAATGAGCCACTTGTGTGCCTGAAACCTTGCTCCCACCAACTGAAGCTCCTTAACCAGACCTAGCTGCTGTTCTCCAGCTCGGACAGGCGGGAGCCTAGCGCTGGCCGGCCGGCATTGGCTGCCTGATGAGCTGAACTTCCATTCTCAGCTCAGCTTTATCCTCCACAAAAAGACTAAGCACACTATAGACTTTTGAAAAGGCTTCTCTTTTTCATCCACCCGGGGGAAGTGTGTTGTAGCTCCATTTATTCGACAACTATTGTGTGAACACCTACCATGTACCACATAACATCCTAAGCATTGGGGCTATGGAGGTAAGCAAAACCGGACCTGGCTCCCACCGTCACAGAACTGACAGTGTGACCAGGAAGGCGGACATCTGTCCAAGAAGCACACAAATGATTATAAAACCTCAACCCCCAGGAGAAGACAAATGTTACTGTGAGAGCTTTCATTGAAGGGAATTTTTTTTTTTAGTTTAGGGATCAGAAAGACTTTGCTAAGGATGTGACATTTGAACTGTGACCTGCAGGAAGGGTGGCACTAATGAGGTGAATGAGGGGTACGGTGGGTATCTGAAAGAGCACTCCAGAAAGATGGAACAGCACGTGCAAAGGCCCAGTGGAAGAAAAGTGCATGATGCATTTGAAGATCTGAGGAATACCAACACGGCTGCAAAAGAGAAAGCAAGGGAGGGGACAGGAGCGTCCATGAACAATGGGCCCAGTGAGGCCCAAAACAAAGTGAAGGGCACATTGTATGGGCCTTAAAAACCAACCTAAGGAGATGAGTCTTCACATGAAGACATTAAAGTGTTTTCTGTAGGTGGTGCGACATAATGAGATATGTGTTTGAAGTTTTCCCTTTGGCTATAATGTGGAAATCAGATTAGAAGTGGGGCCAAAATAGGTCAAGGTAGATTAGTTAGGAAGCTGCTACAATAATCCTTTAGATACATGACAGCATTCATTATTAGAGTGATGGTGGTGGAAAAAGCAGATGGGTATCAGGGACATTTAATAGCTAACACACACAGGACATAAGGCCATGTGGGGCAAAAGGAAGTCAGAATAGTATAGTGGTTAAAGTTTTGGATTTTGAAGTAAGAAAGACCAGGTCTGAGTCCCAGCTCCATCATTAACTACCAGTGTGATTCTTAGCCAGTAATTTAACCTCTCACAAATTCAGATTTTAAAAACCTATAATTCAGAATTGTAACAATCTATCTCATTCATAGGGCTGTTGTGGCACTAAATGAGCTAATGCTTGGAAAGCACTTCGTCCTTGCCAGTGCTTGGCATGTGGTCAATAAATGTAATATAATCAACACCATTATTATAGTTATAGTTATGTTTATGATTATTCTGGATGTTTCTGAAGTTGGCAAATAAAGGGAAGCAATCGGTCTCTACTTCACTTTGCAACAGGCTGATTGGGTCCAGACGCCAGCTCCTGAGAGCAGCAAAATGTAATCATGGGGCCAGCACGGGCTGAGAGACAGTGGCCAGGGTAGCAAACCGATTCCCTCTTCCACCAAGCGAAGGCCTATCCTCCTCATCAGTCTTCTCTTCATGCTCTTCCAGTTTATATGGAATCCTGTTCTCATACATGTTGGCGGCTGGGCTGCCAATATCTCCTCTCTGCATTAATAGGACATGCCAAAGAACAGCAAAATATTGCACATGTGTTTAAGTTCAGCTTTATCCCAATGCCTGCATCATTGTGTTCAATATAGTTACAAAAGAAGAGCCATCTGAAATCAGCAAATCATTATTTCTTTTTCTATCATTTCTCTTTTATGTAATTGTGTTAATACTAAGGCAAAAATTTGCCATCATTAAAATAGGCTGTTGATTGATCAAAAAAATCAGCCCCAAGTTCTTACCAGTGGGGCATCTTTACTGGTGGGAGCACATGTGCAACTCCACAAGTGGGTCTCTTCTTCCACCTCCCTCCCTTAGTCTCAAGCCTTTTCCAAACAAATTTTTAGCCAAGACTTTGAAGCAACCCAGGTGTCCATCAACAGATGAATGGGTAAAGGGGATGTGGTAAAAATATACAATGGAACACTACTCAGCCATAAGAAAGATGAAATCGTGCCATTTGTGACAACATGGATGGGCCTTGAGGGTATTATACTGAGCAAAATAAGTCAAACAGACAAAGGTGAGTATCATATGATTTCACTCATATGTGGAAGATAAACAAACAGACACATAGATAAGGAGAGCAGATTGGTAGTTACCAGAGAGGAAGAGGATAAGGGGAGTGTGAAAGGGGTAAAGGGGCACATATGTTTGGTGACAGATGGAAACTAGACTTTTGGTGGTGAACATGATATAGTCTATACAGAAGCTGAACTATAATGATGTACACCTGAAATTTACGCAATGTTATAAACCAACATGATCTCAATAAAGTAATAAAAAGGAAAAAAACTTCTATGCACAGTGCAAGAAAACTAAACAAAATCATTTGCTCACTTTTTAAAGATAAAAGGACTTTTATATCAGTCAAGGTCTTGATGTCATCAGTAATGGTCTGGTTGGGTTTTAAGAATTTGACAGCCGCTTACTAGGTAATTGCTTCTGGAGGAGCCATTACAGTCTGCTAACAAGGAGGAAGGACAGACAGGGTTTGCTCAGGAGGATTTGGGGTTCCAAGTACTAAGATTTACCCAAATCCTCCAGAATACCACTTTCCCAGTTCCCAGGGCCCACTCTTTTCAATAAAGGCCTTAACTTTCACATCAGAGGCCTAGCAAGGCTTTGAATTCATCTTGCATTGTACATTTGCAACCTGCAGCAACAGATCTTTGGCCTGACTTTTGGCTACATCAACAATGTGGCTGCAAGACTGAAAGTTCTAGAAGCTCTCTGGGTCTCTGATAATGCCTTCCTCCAAGACTATAATATTCCTGAGCTTGTCATGTTCTTTCTTTGTGGTCTCCGTTGCAGTCAAAAGTGGCCGACACACACCCTAGTTCCTCCGGTTCTCTTTTCTATTCCGCGGCAGTAGCCAACTTGGTCTCCTAAATTCCTGTCTTCAAGAGGCCCGTAATTTTAGGCAGCCTTAGGTGGTAATTTAAGTAACTGCCATTCATGTCTCCTTAGAATTCTATTTGACATTGGAATCAGATCATCACGGTATGCAAACCCAAGCAGGTCAACTAACCAATTTGAGATTCCTGTCTTTGAAGGCCTGGAGCAAGTCTTGGCATGAAATATTGTGTCAGTCAGGATTCATTAAAGAAAAATCAAAACAACCTGAGGATTGAACGTAGGGATTTACGTGCCTAAAAGTTGTTAGTAAGGCTACAGAAGTGGCCATTAGTGTGGGTTCCTTTAGTTCCAGGTAACACCGTTGCAGGTGCAATCCAGAACTCAGCAACCTGCTGCTGCCACCCAGAGGTCAAGATGCTGCAGGAAAAGGCCAGCCATATCACTGTCTCTGCTCTGAGGCTAGTCCTGGTGATGGAGCATGCCTTCAGCCAGCCACTGTAGATTGGCCGCCATTGCTGCTGGAGGGGAAATTTCTCGGTGTTCCCTTTGCCTCCAAATCTAATGTAAGAGCTTTGGCAGGATGAAAATTTCATCCAAGCCCAACAGGAAGGGGAGCCTGAAAAATGTAACGTCCAGACTTCCAGCCCCTAAAATACAGGAGACAGGATAGAACAGGTTGTGAATGAAGGCTATTTGCCAACCAACAGTGTTCAGTACAAACATAGACTTGGGGTGAACAGGATAATGCAAATATTGATTTAAATTAAAACTCGCAGAAATTCCAGTTTAAAATGTTGAGTCCTTTTAGTCTATTTTAACTCTCATATTGATATTGCTTTAAAATTTTTAAAAGTTAGGATTTTACAACTATTTTAAATAAGAACGCAAAATATTTACCGTTAATGATGAATTTTAAGATATTCTTAATTCCCCAGTATAATTTTCTCGTTACTTTCTCCCCATGGTTCCTCCAGGAGCTATCCTTCTTAGGCTATCATTGTCCCTCCTCTGCGTTAGCCA